TTTGAAGTTTTTATGATTTCCAAGTTAACAAATTTGTATTTTTACAGACATCAGATGACTGATATTTTGAGGATACATGTTATTTCTTCCCTGAATGTGCTGTGTAGAGAATCTCTTCTCTATTTTCATGTGCGTGCTCTGGCTGTAATGGAAACCCTGACTAGTACTAGATGAGAGGTGTGCAGCATGATGGGAGTAAATACGAACTGCTGCTTTTTCATCACCACTCAGGCAGAGGAGAGGTTACACATGCAGTGGCTCATAGAGTGCCCCCACCAGACCAATAAAAAATAACAAAGCTAACTGACACACAGGCTACGCTTCATGTGGATTGTTCAGGTGAGTCTGTCAGGATTTTTGTAGTTGGCAATACCTAGAAAGTCCTGAAGGGGGCTCCAGAAAGAACCCTGTGTTTGCCATGGCTTTAGTTGTATTCTGTGTGTATACAGCACAACAGAAACAATCATTTCTACCCTGCTGTTACTGATGATATCCCATGAATTGTTTTCTCCAGGTTATTTTCTTCTTTATTTTGCTAGTGGTTCATTTCTCTGTGTTTATTTTAAGCTCCTTAAGGGGAGGGGAACTATTGTATTCATCTTGAAATGAGTTTGCAAAAACACTATTCCCCAATCTTTATAAGGGTATTGTAGGGCTTAAAATTTACATTACGCGTATCCTTCAGACCCGTTTGAACAACTACAGCTCTCCCCTTGAGTTTTCCTCTGCCCCTTGGAAACGTGGAGGGGACGAGCTCTAGATATAGCAGTATTCACTAAGATAGCTGCCTGGGAAGGAAAGGGGACATTATTAAAGCAAAAATGGGGGTCTTGGCAAAGGCCCCAGTTTTAAAAGAGAGAGAGAGACAGCCAATTAGGTTGAAATGATCCCTCCACAGTCATTATTCTGAAGCAAAGTAAACATTTGGGTAGAAGTGGGTACATAGCCATTTTTCAATAAATGGACTAAATTGTCCCTTGGAACTATTACAGTAGGTGGTGCTCTTGTGCCATAACACAACAGTTTTTAGAAAGGTTTTGAAACTAGGGCCTATTTCCCTATTGATCCCTTTGGGTGACTGCAAGGTTCACAATTGGGATAGCATCATCTGGGTGGTTCCGGTGAGAGGTTTTTCTGTCTGGAAATGTGGTGAATTCTGGTCTTTACCTTTTCTAGCTTGCCTGAGTGCTGTCTGCTTTCCAAGGGTACCTAAATGAGGGGTTTACTAAACTGTTTTTTAAAATTATAGCTTTATCTGAACAATTATGTGTTACCAGTTTTCTGATACCATTTTTTTTTCTATTGGAAATCATCTGTGATCTTCCAAATCAAGCTTCTTTCCAGATAAGTAAGCTATCATTCTTGTTTCCTTTTCCTTTTTCTTTTTTTGAGTAGGTTTTAAAAATAAATGTTTTCATTGATTTTGAGAGAGAGAGAGAGAGAGAGAGAGAGAGAGAGAGAGATTAATGAGAGAGAAATATGAGTCAGTTGCCTCCTACACACCCCCTAATTTGATCGAACCCCCAACTTAGGCATATGCCCTGACCAGGAATTGGACTGATGACCTCTGTGCATGGACGATGCGCCCAACCAATTGAGCCACACTGGCCAGGGCTCATTCTTGTTTCTTTATGTTTTCTTTCCTTTAGCTTCAGAGAAGATGCAATATAATGAAATAACATGTGGTAGGGAAATTGTAAGTGATGAAGGAATATAGATGAAAAAGTAGTTAACTAGCCGCCAGTAATAACTGTAGCTGACTGTGAACCCTGTTGCTATCAGCTCCCTTCCTCACTTCTTGTCCTATATAATGAGTTTCTTGGTCTAAAGTTGGTTGATGGTGAACAAAGGCATCCAGTAAAGTTCATATTTGGTGCTGCTGGGAGAAGCCTGGTGGGAAAGGAAGAGAAATTTAAGCCCAAAGCTGATTATCTATTCCAGGGAGGACAAATCTCTTGTCAGAAGTTGCCTGAAACATTTAGGGGTCTGCTTTTTCAGGAGGTTTCTTGGGGTTGTCTCTAATGTTAAGGACAGTTGTTTTACCTTGTATCCACCAGCTGTTAAGCTACAAAATGCTTATGGAGCTTCTGTATCAGCCTGGGTGTGAGGATCTGAGCTGCCGGTTGCCTGCTGTCTCCGCAGGCAGCCAGGTCTCAGTGGGCTCAGCTGGCCAGGCTGCTGCACCAGAGCCAGCCTCCCCGAGGGCTTTGTGACCCCCTGACCAGTGGGTGTACAGGTGCTCTCCGGTAGCTTTTGTGATTTTTTAAAAATAATTAATATTTTTAGTTTGTGTGGCTTTTAAAAATTGATTTATTTATCTGCTTACTTGTTTAAATTATCTCAGTATTTAGAATGTACTTTTAATCTAAAACCCATGTATTTCTTGAACATTCTTAGCTTATCTTTAAATATTCTTAGTTTTATCTCTTTAAATACTGCTTCTTTTCTTTTCCATCCTCTTCTCTTTCGTTTGCTCTGATGCCTTCCAGATGTTTGTGGAGCTGTCCTTCATGTTTCTTAAGTACTCTATATTTTTCTTCCTTATCTTTTGAGTAGCAATCTGTGTGAATTTCTTCGTGTTAGCTTCAAATGTGCTGGTTCTTACTTCAGTTCTGTCCAGTCTAAAGTATCTTGGGTACTGAGTTTTTTATTTCAGTGACTATTCTTCATTACATAATTTCCAATTGATTATTTTTTTAAACATCTCTTCTTGTTTTAATTTTGCCTTTTTTTGGTTTATAATTTCTTATTCCTTTAAAATTATATAAGTATACTTATTTTGGACTGTTTTATACTATTCATTTCATCTGAAGTAAGTTAGTGATCTGATGGCTGGTTTTTTAAGTTGCCTGTATTGGCATTAGATTTCTTTATATACCTTAGAACTTTGGTTTTGAATAAGGTATTTTCATTTATTTTTTTATTTTCCACCACTCTTTTTCCCTCTGTGCTCACTTTTCTTTGTTTAGCAGTATTACAGTCGTCTCTCTGCCTTACATGGAACCCTAGTCCAGAACCGAAGCGGTGATGTAGTTACTCAGGCAATCATAGGCTGCTTCACTGAGTTCCTAGTCGCTGGATGGCCTGTGTCCTGCCCTGCTCCCTGGGCCACTGCTCCATATGAAACCAGGAATGGGGAGCCCGCCTCCAATGATCACCTTTGACCCTGCCTTCAGGCAGTGATGCACTCTCCTTTGTGGGTTATGTTTGGCCTTGAAACCCTTAGGACTCATACTTCCAGTTTTGGTGCCTATTTTTGGATCCTGAATGTTGGAGGCTCCAGGCTTTAACTTCGAGGACTGACCTCTTTTTTTTTTATATATATATATATTTTTATTGAATTTTTACAGAGAAGAAGGGAGAGGGATAGAGAGTTAGAAACATCGATGAGAGAGATCGATCAGCTGCCTCCTGCACAGCCCCCAGTAGGGATGTGCCCGCAACCCAGGTACATGCCCTTGACCGGAATCGAACCTGGGACCCTTGAGTCCACAGGCTGACGCTCTATCCACTGAGCCAAACCAGTTCGGCGAGGACTGACCTCTTGGTGTCTGCGCCATATCTATTTCATAGAGATGTTTATATTATTTTTGAGTTTGCCTGCATTCTTTTAGTTTTCTTGTGTTTCTTTTCATTGCTGTGTGTTTGGAGTAGAGAGAATCCATCAGCGTGATTTTCTGTGCCATCTTAACTGGAAGTCATGTGGGCTGAGGTTTTAAAGGAAATAAAGTGAGATATTTGGTTTTACATAGTACTAAAAGCTAACCACAAAAATGCTTTTCTCTGTGAGTTCATTGACCCATAACATACAGTTATTTAAACTCCTTCAGAGGCTGACAGCCCCAAAAAGATGGGATTTATTAGGGATTAAGCAGGTGGGTTTTATTAGGATTCGATGGTTCTCTATAAGGATTTTACCTTTTATTTGTCATTTTGGTGGTAACTTAAAAAAATCGATTGTTTCCAAGCAACCAAATTTTAACTAAATGGTGTCTTAAGATGTCAGTGTCTCCAGTTGTGTTTGTATTGGTGCCAAGGAGCACTACTTTTAGATATTGAAAAATGAACGGAGGTAAAAATGTAAATAATGTGCTTGAGCTGAATGAGACATTGCTGTTTCACGAACTGAACTATCCCCAGCAAACACAACAGAAGCTGCCAGTAGCAGTCAGTACCAAGTCCACCTGACTAGTCTAAGTGAGGCTTAGTAACCTACATTATTGATCACATTGAAATCACTTTGTCAATTGAAATTTTATTGATTTTGTAGAGTTGTTGGTATTTGTGCATTTAAAAATATCTATAGTTGTATAAGTTATAAGTACAGTACATATTTTGCTAGTTTTATGTTTGTTAGTATTTAATAGAATAATGATTTTAGACGATTCTAAGAGCTCTCAAGAATCTTTCTTATTTTATTTTTTCTATCACCATTTATCCCCGCTGTGCCTCTTGCACACCCCCCACCCCCATCCTTATCACTACACTGTTGTTCATGTCCGGGAGTTCTCTCTGTCTTTTTTTTTCTCTTTCGCTCAATCCCTCTACCACCCCACCACCACCCTCCCCCAACCAGAGCTGTCTGCCTGCTCTTTAAGAATCTTTTTCTTCAAGTTTGAGAAACATGAATCAAAGGTAACTTAACTCTTCCTATGAAGTGTAGAAGCATTCTGGGCTTGGTTTTGATGTTTTGCCTGGTTCACCGCTGCTCATACTTCGTTGGCTTAGCTCATGCATCGTTTCTGTCTGCAAGGGTCTGCCACCTCCATAATGTCCCTTCTTAATGCTCCCTGCAGCTTCCCATGGCTCCTTCTCTCCTAGCCCTTCCCACGAAGGATTATGTTTTATCTGTTTATAGACCCCGATTTCCTCATTAGCCACAGGTTGTGTTAGAGCAAGGAACGCTGCCATCTTTTTATTTGCAATGTTTTTCAGAGTTCTTGTCATAAAGTAAGTTCCCAATAAATGAGTGGGATTTTTGTTTGTTTTTGTTTATTTAGTAATAAGTTACCGGTGGAACAAACCAACGGTGGAAAGAGGCAGAAGTAACTTGGAGCCGAGTCACCAGTGACAGAGGCAAGAAGATTTCTAGTATTTTAACGTCTAATGTGCCCCTCAGCCCATTTTTCTAACTGGTCTCACCAAAAGTTCACAGTCTGACTGTCAGGTAAGTGAATTGAAGACAAGAATGCAAGGAAAGAAATAACCAGTATTCTGACAGAATGTATGCGCGAAACTGGTGTTTCTCGAGTCCCAGCCAGAGCTATGAGGTGCTGAGGGAGAACAAGGGTGGGGTTTCTAGCTTAGTAGCCTGAAGGCAGCACTATCTTGAAAGGATCCACTTGGAAACCAGGTCCAGAGAGTAGCTCTTTCCCCGCACGGTGGGGACATGGGTGGAAGAAGGGAGCTCAGGAAATCTCCAGACAGATTGAATTTCCTTAATTCTTTGCAAAGCCATCTGAAGAGTGTGTACGCTCTGCACCTGGGTTGCAGTTGCCTTTGCTGATTCCTCAGACCCAGATTTTGTTTATGATTGAGGTTTGTTTGAAATTATCTGCAAATTTCAGGTCTGTGTTTTTGATTAGGGTATCTCAGAGGTGAAACACTGCTGACTCAACAGAGAAAAAGCCAGCTCCTCCTAGTGGAAATTTTCTTAACACTTCATTGTTTTAAGGGGAAAAATATCATTTGTTTCTTTCATAAACATTTTATGGAAATTAGAATATTTTATTGTAACTTTTTTAAAAAAACCCACAAACACAGGGACAGATTGACCAATCTTAAAATAATGAAGCAAAGAAACATTACTTTAAAGTAATTTAAAAATACTGGCATCAGGCTCTCAGTAAGGAAGAGGAAGAAAGTTGTTAAGCTTAAGCATAGTTGAACATAAGCTTCTTAATTTTATATTTGATTATATTTCTAGAAGTTTTAAATATTTTCTGACAAGGCCATTGTGCCCCTAGCTGATGACATTAATTGAAGGCTAGGTATTTGGTTTGTCTTTTTTTCTTCTTCCATAAACAGCATGTTTTGTAGCATTCTGTTCACAAATCTGTTTGGTGCTTATTTCGTGGAGAAGCTACTTCAGTTGATTCATGCTCAGGGGAAATGGAAAATAAGTAGTGCTCTTTATCAGGTTGCCACTTTGAGCAGGTTGTGGTCTGTATATGGTATGTATAGACAAGTGATGGCGAACCTTTTGAGCTCGGTGTGTCAGCATTTTGAAAAACCCTAACTTAACTCTGGTGCCGTGTCACATATAGAAATGTTTTGATATTTGCAACCATAGTAAAACAAAGACTTATATTTTTGATATTTATTTTATATATTTAAATGCCATTTAACAAAGAAAAATCAACCAAAAAAATGAGTTTTCGTGTCACCTCTGACACGTGTGTCATAGGTTCGCCATCACTGATATAGACTTACCTTTCATACCTCTGGCTTTTAATTGGTGCAGACCAAAGGAAAGCGATTTTGAACCCTCTTGGTTCCCTTGACAAGTACTGTATGCGGCCGTTTTTGATGCTGTGACATTCATAATGACCTTTGTTGGAAATATTGACAATCTGGGAACTACATGGTGTCTAGCAACACAAAGTTGGTCAGAATTTTATTATTTTATCTACCGAATCCACTAAGGTTTGTGTACTTATTTATTCACATATTTATTCAACAAATATTTATTGAGTTCCTACTGTGTGCCAGGTACTGTGCATAGCAGTGATTTTCAGAATGTGTTTAGCAAACTAGGTTCTGAGATGTGCCAGCTAGAACATGTTTGACTACAAGTAACAGAAAATCCAATGAAAGGTGGGGTAAGCCCAAAGGAAAATTCCAAGGTTGGCTACTTCATTGCCTCTGCTATGCTAGTTGAGAGGACCCAGGTCCATCTTTCTGCTTTGCTACTTGCAGCAGGTTGATCAGTCCTGGGAGGCTTACTTACTCCTGGGTCCCAAGGTGACTATTGCTGTTCTGAGTGTCACATGAAATGTACAGTGTCTAGTATGGAAAAGCATGTATTTATTTAAGATTGAGACTCTCTCAGAAACCCTCCAGCTAAAGCTAGTTCTCATTTCCCAGAGTTGCATAATAGTGCCCGTACCTATAGTGGGTAGGAGGGCAAATGGGAATACCAGGGCTGGTCTACAATAGCCATTCTCAAAATGTGTGTGGGGACCCTTTCAGGAGGGCCACAAGAGCAACACTATTTTTATAATAATCCTAAAGATATTATTCGCGTTTCCTACTCTCATTCTCTCATAAGTATACAGTGGAGGTGTCAAGAGGCTGCATGATGTATGATGATGTCATCCATCTGGCAGCTAATGGAATATGTGTGTATGTGTTTTTGTGTGTGTTTTTTGTACATATCCTGCCTCAGGCTTATTTGTACAAATAGCACAGGAGTACACCAGCTCCATGCAGAGAAGAGCCCAGGGGGCACATTCGTCCTTTCCTCCTTACATTGGCAGACAGAGGCCTCTACTTTGGAGCCTTCATGGGGGCCTGGGCACCACTGGGAGCTGGAGCTGCAGCTGCCTTAGTCTTGGTTTGAACCTTGGCCTTTTTCTAGCAGAACCTCAGAGCACGTTTCCCAAGCTTGGGGTGAGCGATGTAGGCAAGTCGATTGAGCTTGCAGCTGCCACCCTTTGGGGTCTTGAGCTTGACCTCCTTGGGCTTAGGAGGCCTCCATAGCTTTGGCATGTGCACTTATGGCCTTGGCATTGGCCTGCATCTTCTTTAGGCCCTTCTTGTGCTTCTTGGTAAAGCGCATGTTCCGCAGGAAGTTGGGGTCTACCCCTTAAGAGATTCATATCTTTGTGATTGGGGTTTCTTGATGCCATTTCTGTGCCATATTCAGGACTGGTTGTGCATGGTGGTCTTGAATTTAGCCATGTCTGCACTGAAGCCTGCACTCTCTAAGCGCCAAGGATCAGAAGAGTGTATATGTATATTCTTAGATTTTATTTTTTTCTCATTTTAAATTCTAACGTGGTAAATATTGATAAACATAACCTACATAAACAAAAGCTCTCAGTAATGCCCTCAGTAATGTTTAAAAGTGAAAAGGGGTCCTGAAAACCCCACTGCTCTACACTAATCAAGATTCACCGTGGCATTGGGGAAGATCCGCCAACACTTGTCATGCGAATCCTGGATAAAACGTTTTTGTTAACAAAAGAGCAGCAGAGGTGTTAGGGCTGTTGGGTGGGCAACCATCCGTGTATGCAGGACTGTTCTAAGGAGGGGGCCTCAGTGGGGGGCTTGGCAGGGACGCAGGGTATGCTCCAGGCCCTGCCCCTACTCTGACTGGAGCAACTTCAGGTCTGTCCTTTTTTTTTTTTAATTCTGGTAAAATGTACATACCATAAAACTTACCACTTTAGCCATTTTTAAGTGTAAAATTAATGGCATTAATTACATTCACATTTTTGTGTAACCATCACCACCATCCTTCTCCAGAACTTTTTTGTCTTCCCTAACTGAAACTCTGTACCCATTAAACACTAACTCTCCACCTCCCCCACTTTCCTAGCCCCTAATACCACCATTCTCTTCTCTGCCTTCCTGAGTTTGACTACTCCCGGTATCTCCTATAAGTGGAATCATATCACTTGGAGTTCGGGTGAATTTCCCGCCAAAATATAAGATGGCTCTGTCTTTTGGTTTTGTTCCATCCACCAAAAGGGTGGATTACAAACAAATATTTGGTAATACGCAGTTACAATCGGCCCGAGTTTACACGTTTCCCGCACTCCACCGCAAATCTATATGAACCGAGTTTTAAGACGGCTCCCGCGGAGTACGCGCAATTCACGCGAGCCGACTTAACTCGTTTCCCTCACTCCAAGTGATATTATATTTTTTCTTTTGTGTCTGTTTTTTTCTATACTCTTTTCAAGGTTTATCTATGTATGTATTAGAATTTCCTTCTTTTTTAAGGCTGAATAATGTGCCACTGTAAGTATATATTCATCTTGTTTATTCATTAATCTGTCGGACATTTGAGTTGTTTTGATATTTTGGCTATTGTGAATAATGCTGCTATGAACATAAGTATACAAATATTCGTTTGAGTCTCTACTTCCACTTCTTTTGGATATATCCACAAAAGTGGAGTTGCTGGGTCATATGGTAATTGTTTAATTTTTTTTTTTTTTAAGAAATCATCGTACTCTTTTCTAAGGGGCTACACTCTTTTGCATTCCCACCAGCAATGCACAGGGGTTTCATTTCTTCCACATCCTTACCAACACTTGCTGTTTCCTATGGTTTTTGCTAATAGCCATCCTAATGGGTATGAAGTAGTATCTCATTGTGGTTTTGATTTGCATTTCCCTAATGATTAATGATGTAGAGCATCTTCCTCATGTGTTTATTGGCCATTTGTGTATCTTTGGAGAGATGTTTGTCCAAGTCCTTTGCTCATTTGTTTGTTTGTTTTTTGTTTTTTATAAATTGCAGCCCTGGTTGGTATGTCTCAGTGGTTAGAGTGTCAGTCTGTGTACCAAAGGGTCGCAGGCTCAAATTCCCAGTCAAGGGCATGTACCTCTGTTGCAGGTTCCATCCTGCCACATGGGGATGCATGCAGGAGGCAACCAGTCACTGAGTCTCTCTCACATCTATCTCTCCTTCTCTCTTTGTCTCCCTCTCCCTCCCTCTCTTCTATTCTCCCTAAAAATAAATGGAAAATATATCCTTGAGTGAGGACTAACAAACAAGTCTGAGTTTTTGTTTTTTTAAAAATATATTTCTTTATTGATTTCAGAGAGGAAGAGAGAGACAGAAACATCAATGATGAGAGAGAATCACTGATCGACTGTCTCCTGCATACCCCCCCACTGGGGATCGAGCCCACAATCCGGGCATGTGCCCCTGGCCAGAATCGAATCCGGGACCCCTCAGTCTGCAGGCCGACGCTCTATCCACTGAGCCAAACCAGCCAGGGCACAAGTCTGAGTTTTAAGGAAATGTGTCATCTACCTTATCTTTTATGTCCTTAAATAAAAGATGCTAATCAATATTTCATTTCTCATGAAATGAATATAGGCATAGACATCCACTTGAAGGCGTGTGCACTAAGCAGAATTGTAAGAGAGTCAAGAGTATACACTCAGGTCAATATCAAGGATGTTGGTATCGTTCAGAAGATATGTAGTC